GGAAGGGAAAAGAATAAAGATGTTGAGCAAAGCAGCTTGTGCATTTAGTACGGGAAAGTTGAGATTATTTTCCTTATGGTTTAAATACCATAAAATAAAACCCCACAACAGATGGTTCACAAAAAGCAAGCTTGCACTCTGCAGAGAAGCCACACCAGAAAGGCGAATCTATTTTTGACATTGTGCCATCAATTTCTGGGTCCTTCACACACGAGCGACACAGAAGTCCATCCCAATGCAGGCCTTACAACAGGAACACTTATAGCTGTGGCGAGTTCTTGACTCATCGGCATCTCCTCGACCAAAACCGCATTGTTTCTGGAAGGGCAACTTTCCCCCATCTCCCCAACCTTTTCAGCAATTCAGACAAAAAAGAATAATCAACAAGCATCGCTCTATAAAACTTCACAGCAACTTCCAGGTGGGTTTCAAAGCAGGCTGGGGCTGCGTGTCCAAGATGGGTATCTCCTGCTGCAGCCCAAGGCACTGCTGCGAGAAGATACCCAGCATCTCCAGATCGGTGACAGTGCACAAATGAATAGCATGCTGCCCAAAAAATCATCTTTCCAGAGAAGGATGACAGTCTTAAATACAAGCGCTAGGTACACACAAAATCAACTGCCTCCTCGTTCTGTTGATTCCTGATTTTCCAGACAGTTCCCGATCCCTGAAAAGCCTGACACCTCTAAAATTTTCAAGCCAATACTGTGTGACAAAGCAAGCCCTGATTAATCCACTGTGTGTAGATGCGATAAGCTATTCAGTTCTTCTGATGTTGGTGTTTGTGGCCGTTCCAGTAAAAAGATAATCGCCTAAAATAATTTCTTTGATGGGGTCTCGTATTCCTAAAGTCAGTGTTTGTGCAGCAAGGGTCACACTGTGTAACTTACCCCAGCCAACACTAGGTCACTAGTGTCCATCCAGCTAGTCAAGGACACTAGAAAAATTTGCATTAATAAAGAAATTGTAATTTTAAGTCACCCCTTAGTAAGAATTCCTGTTTCACTGAAAAGATAACTGCACCTCATCTGTGTGCATAAAACATGTCCAGAACAAAGCATCCATGTGGCCAAAACCAGACAAGGTGGAGGGGCAAAAGAGAATCTGATTTTTCAGAGACTGAAATTACACTTTTAAGACAAACTCCTAGACACCATGTCTTGCTGAAAATCCACCCTAAGACCCCAAACCACCACCAGCACCTCCGTTATCTCCCCCCGTCTTCGGCATGGCAGTTCATTTCTGTGAGCCAGACATTGTGTTATCCTTTTGGAAGGACAACCGGTGCCGTGTCCTGGTGTATTTATGCCATGGAAGCAGTGTCAGCCACCGGAGAGGTTGTACAGAGGGACGGTGAGATGGCAGGGACAGCCGGGATTGGGAGGATGCTGGGTGTGCAAAGCCCTCACGGCGGTACCTGGCTCCTGTGAGACCGGCTCTAGTTCTCTCATCACCACCATTTTTTCTTCCTCCTCCTCCTCTTCAATTGGCCTTATCTCAACATGGCCAAGAGCACGTTTGGCTAAAAAAGTTACGGATGAGTTAAAATTGCCACCTCGAAGACGAAGTAGCAAAGGCAGTACTGCCATCAGTAAACCCGCATGGCCACCTCTCCTGCTTCTCCCACAGGGCTTTAGAGCATCAAGACGTGCAGGAAAAATAGACACCAGGTTTTTCCTTTGCCATTCAACGAGGAGTCCGTGCTACCCAGAACTGCATTATTTTAGTTACATTTTCTTAACTGCCTTTGGCTACTTTTGATGATCTGAACGCAGTAAAAAGCACTGCGCCAAAATATGAGATATAAAATATCAATCGTCATCACCCTGGCCATGAAAATGGCCCCTCCTGGGAACAGAAGTGTCAAGGGGAGGAAAAAAGTGCAGGAGGTGAACGAGGAGGGGCAGCTGCAGCAGGAGACACCTGGATGTGCTTGGGTGTGACACCGGCTGCTCGGCTGCAGCCCGTCCCACGGAACACCCTCGAGTCTAAGCGCAGGGGGTGGCTCAGTGTTCTTCATAATATTCAAGAAAAGGGGTGAAGTTTCCAGTTACCTCCCTTCACGGCTTCAATCTCCTCTTCCTGCAATGACTAACCGACTCTGCTTTTAATTATGATCAGGGTGGATCTGGCTGCAGCAGTGCAGTTGCTCTGAAATAAAACTAGGGAAGAAACAGGCTCCCTAGCGAAGAAAAACCCAAAAAAAAAAAAAAAAAGGCAGAGCGTAGGTGACCTCCAGCAGTCCCGGAGCACACAACCTGATTTTCAGGCACCACGTGTTCCTACAGCTCAGGAGAAGGAACCTCGCACGAAGGGAGAGTCACAGCGGGGCGCGAAGAGGCCACTGCACACGCGTTTCAGCACGCAGGCACGCAGCCAAGCCACGGCACCTCGGCGCCTCCCCCGATAAAGCAGCACCCGCGTATTGCGGCACGCTCGCAAAGCCGGGTGTGATTTTAACGGCAACGAACACCACTGCAAACGATGCAACCTCTGTCCTACAGCACCGCATCACTCCAACCCAGCAGGTCACGGCAAGGGGCGGCCGCGGGAGCCGCGCCGATGGCAAACGCCGCGGCGTTTTTCCGCAACGGCTCCGGGAACTTTGGTTTGGCCACGGGAACCTTAACCACCTCTACCTTCTCCTCCTCCTCTTCCTCCTCTGCAATGGGTTTCATTTCAAAAGTTTCAACAGCGTGTTTGGCTAGAAAGAGGTTTGCATGCGTTAACAACAGAGCGGCTGGAGAACCGGGCGGACGGACACACGACGGTCGCCGCAGCGGAGGAAAGAGCGAGAGCAGACCCCTCTCCGAGGCAGCGGCTGAGAACAGTGAGGAGGTTTTCAAACCAGCTTAAGAGTAATTTTCCACCACGTAATTGTGTATCAGTCTTTCTAGTGCTGCCAGGCCCAGCAGTTTACGGGATGAGAGGGGAAAAACCACAAATAGGCTTTGGAGGCTTCTTGCCCAGGGAGGGATACGTGGGGACATGCAAACAGCTCTCGAGTGCGGTTCTAGGACGGGCTCTGCCTGCAAAGTCTGGGGAAATGCAGGTGCTGGCTGGTAAAATCCAGCAAAAACATATCCAGGCTCCTCTAGATAAAAACCTATGTAAAAACTAGCAGCTTTAATTAAATGTATTTAAGTGATCAACTTCAAATCTGAAAATTAAGAACATACAGCCATCTACCCCGGTGTCTAAAATTCTCCACCTTCTGTTTGCACAGCATCAAGCCCTCCCTGCCAGGCGACGCTGACTGGTGAGAATTCAAGGCAAGACAGGGGTGGGGAGACAGTCTGCCACACTACTTCATGAAAGCTTGATCTAGATTTTATACTAGAAAAACAGTGATGTCAAAAGCACGCTGTAAAAAATTCAGGGCGGAAGGGAAGTGGAGCAGCACACAGCACATTTGCATACGAATTATCTCCAGCCCTAATGCACCACAGGCACTCACTGTTTAAGTGATGAAGACTGCAAATATTTGACAACACTGCTGCTATGATACGCTTATTAGTATTCAAATATGCTGTTGTACCTACACACCTTTTAAAGGCATTAATATTTATTGATATTTATTAATAGTACCTATCTAAAGAGAAATATAAGCTCCCCATAGCAAAACGGGTGGCATTTCTCAAACCCTGAAAAAAAAAACAGAATAGGCTTAAAAAATGGCAAGCAGGTCCCGGGATGAAGAATTTCAGAAGCTTTACAAGAAGTTTCAAGGCCAAACTTGAAAGTTTTCTAACCCACATTCACAAAACCACCCAAATTTAATAATGAGACAGTTCTTGAAAGCCGCCTAAACTTTTCCCCACCTCCCCACAAGAATTACAGTCTAACGAGGTGCAAGGCAGAATTTAACGAGTCTCCCAGAGCCGGGGCTCTGCCGGGCTGTCTGTCCTCTTGACTGCAAAACTCTTCTTGCAAAGAAATGAAAAAAGAAAGCTGCCAGACTTGGTGAAACTTTGAGTTGTCAGGAACAAGCATGTAAAGGATAGGAAAGGCGCTGCAGAGAGTTGTAGCCACCACCACAGCTATACCTGGCTTCTCTCGGATCTGATCCGTGGGTTTTGGTTCGGGAACCTCAACCACCACCACCTCCTCCTGCTTCTCTTCCTCTACGGCTCTGAACTCAACTTTTTGAGTCGCACGTTTAGCTGAAGAAATGGGGCACATGTTAACGACTGCCCACACAGCAGACGGAAAAAGGCTGCAGACTTCAACGGGGACAGAAGCGTTACATTCACAGGCTGCTCTTTTCCAAGCTCTGACATCCAGGTGCGGGATTGCAGCAGCGATTTCTCTGCTCAGCTGGGGCTCTAAGGGTCTACAAGGCCACGGCCAAGGGGCAACCAACAGCGCTGGTCCCCTCGCCTCCAGGCATCGTGGCTGGGTAACATCACACGCCTGGACTGCAGGCATTTTGGTTTGCTCAGGGCTGTGGTACGGAGCTCGAACCAAGCAGCCCTTTCCCTCCCAGCTCGGGGTGTCGCTGAGCCCTGAAAATCCATGGCAGGAGCAGGGGCAGCCTGGCTGCTGCTGGTCACAGGGTGCTGGGACAGCCCTGCTCCCTCCCGGGTCGCAGCACGACCTCAGGGCTCAAAGCAACGCTGCTCCTGCTCCATCAGGTGCCCTTGGTGGAAAGGGATGTTCCCCTTCCCCTGGATCCTCTCGGTGCAAAGGGAAGCTTCCCTTTCCCTGGATCCTCTTGGTGCAAAGGGAAGCTTCCCTTTCCCTGGATCCTCTTGGTGCAAAGGGAAGCTTCCCTTTCCCTGGATCCTAATTTTACAAGCACCTCATGATCCAGACGAAGGGGAGCAGACTTAGGCACTCGCCCTTCCATGCCTCACCTCCTCTAGCCTGCTGCTACCCGGCTCTTTTAAGAAAAGCCAGGGACGAGCCCACCTGATTGATACGCCACAAACTTCAACATCAGCATCATCGCTTTAACAAGTGCTGAAAAAGTTTCAAACAGTTGTGGCAAAATAGTTGCCCCTCAAGGAAAACTGTGTCATTTTAAGCAGCTAAGTTAAACAAAACAAATCCTAGAATAGCTTAATTCCCAATTTATTAAAGGAAAATGCCTTGAGATTAATAAGGAAGTATTTTTACAACGAGAACTTTGCCATAAGCCTTCAGCACCCACCTACACCCTTTCTGCCAGTCAGTTCTTGGTAGCACTAATATCAGTTTGCATTTCATGTCCAGGTCTTGTATAAAAGTGAGAAGTTGTGCCTGGTTTTCGGTTGTTTTTTTTTTTAAAGCAGGGAATTTAGGTGGTATTGAAGGAGTATTTCAGTATCCTACTGAATCCAGCCACGGAGAGGGAAGAGGCACCAGACACTCACCTCCATCGAGGCTCCTGGAGGCTCGCTTACTTGCCGTCCGCTCGAACTGGGGAGCGGGTCGGTCGATCAAGGCACTCGCCTGCCTCGTCTGCGCCTGCGTCCGGCCGCTGTAGCGGAACTTGGAGCCCAGCGCCAGGAACCTGCTCTTCGGGATGGCCTCGGTGGAAGTCAGCCTGAAAACCACACACACGATTTAAAAATCATACCTCCAGACCTAGGAAGTGGCAGGCAAAGAGAAATTAAAACACAAATTAAAGAACTCTCTTCCATACACTTGATTAACAGAACAACACGCGCTAACAATAAGCTCCGCACCTACATAAGCCAGAATCCCTCTGTCTCGGGTATCTCACGAAGCAGAAGCTGCCTGGAAATTTACTGCAACATAAACACTTAAGGTCTCTGCAACCATTTCCCTCCAATTTTTGTGAAACCCTAAGGAACACTCCTTTTCAGCAGCTAATTTAAAACATCAGTTATTCAAGGCGAGCCTAGCGCTTAGAAAACCCACCTGAAAAACGTGTGATGTTCAACACAGACTTTCCACAGCTTCTTCGCTGCCCGGTAACTTGGTAGCTTGAACCCGATTGTACTTTCATACTGTTCTTGCTGCAGAAAATAGCAGTTATTTAGGTATAGCAAGAAATAAATGTGGCAGGAGTCCAGTCCCCAGCCCATCGACTTGTTCTGCTGCAGCACAAGCTGCTGGTCTAGCCCAAGAGCAGCTGAACTCACTCCACAAGGTGCAGGAGGAGCTCAGGTCTGAGAAAAGACATGGCTTGGCCACAAGCCCGGGCATCTCTCAGGATGCACTGGGATTCGCAGAGGAGCGTGTCGTGGGTTCTGCAGCCATTCGGACTCCTTTACTCCCCCGTCACCCTGCCCAGCTGGGGGGTGGGGTTGAAAATTGACCTCCCTGGCACGGCTGGGTCATGGCAGTCGAAGCAGGAGGAGGAAGAGGAGGAGGAAAGAGGCAGATCCCCATTGTACCTCTTTCCCCACCATGTTTCCAGCAACCAGGCTGCTCCAGGGATCTCCCCGTTCACAAGAGGCAGCGTCAGGGCAGCCACCCTCAGCCTGCTGCAGTCTAAGTGCAAAGGTATGTGGCTGTATTTTTTAATATATTTTTGGGGGGTTTATAATGAAAGCTAGACAAAGAGCCTTTGCCTTGCCCCGTTTCCCAAAAAAAAAAAAAAAAAAAAGGAGTTAGCCCTCTCCCAGTTTCAGCTGTGAACTTCCCACCGGGCTCCCCTGGATGCTGGGAATACCACGCAGTGCCAGGAGGTGGTGCTGGACGACACGTTGTTTAAACTGGTGGTTTGGTTTATAGCTCCAGCAAGGTCAATGGGCTCTACCTGAACGTAACACCAAGCCAGGATCAGAAACCCTATAGAGGGTAAAATGCTCATTCGGAGGAAAGCTTGCTCCCTCCCCGCCCTTTGTTTTAGCGAAGCACAGACGCTGGTGATAAGCAGAAGGCAACTAAAGAAGACAGGAGCACAAAAGTCAGAACGTACTTCCCCTGGTCGAATCTTAATAAAGAAGCTGCTGCGTTTGTAGGAAATCTTCAGGACTTTGGGCCAAGGGAAGCGGTTGATTCTCAGTTTATCTTTGTAAACAAGAAGGCCACTGGAACAGACTCCCAGAGTGATATCCACTCCTTCCAAGTCCTGGGAAAGCAGATCAGGATTTAAGCAGTGTCAGGGTTACAAGCTTCAGGTCAATGTCTGTCCTCCAAATTACCCCTTTGGTCTTCCCCCGAGGCTCTCCTGAATTCATCTCCCCAGCACCCAGACCTCTGCTTCTGGCTCCCGACGCAGCCAGGACCAGGCTTGCTTTTTCCTTCACGTTTTTTCCTCATGACCTCCTCCCTTCTGCAGATCTCCTGCCCTGCTGTTTGCTCAAAGGGCTGGTCTAGAGTCTATCCTGCACTTCTCTGAGCAGAGCAGCTCACCTTGCAGGGTGAGAGCCTGACTCGAAGTTCCTCAGAGCAAGGACCTGTCTACATCAGTTGCTCTGTAAAGCTTCCTCTACTATATAAATAATAAGCAAGTGGAAAGAACCACTTCTCTTACAACACTTGCAACAGTGCTCGAGGCATTTCTGTTGTGTGCCTGTGTTTCTGTACCGGTAGCCAGCTTACTGCCTATGTCTTTCAAGAGGAGCCTCCTGAAATAGGTAAACTTGCTCCTGCGAGGGAAGGATAATCAAATTACAAAATCCACAGGCAGGTGCACACACGCTGATTCTCACCTTGGCTTGGTGAAGGTCAACTCCATACATAGACAGCTTTTTTGCATTCTCAAGAAATTCCAGGTCTGCTTGGGCTGGAGTCATGGATCTGGGGAAAGAGAGAAAGGGCTCGGTATTCCCCTGACTGTTGCTTTTAGGAGGGGACCGATCAGACTTCACAAAACCAGTTACTCGTTAGATTTTCTTTCGCTTTCAATACAAGCCAATTTTTGCCCAGATGATGAGTTATTAAATTACTCTGAATGCACAAATTTGTGCTTTGAGCCATCTGCATTAAGACGGATGCATTTTATTTCTGTGGAGCTGTACAGAAGAAAGCAAGGACGTGCAGTAAGGGGTTACAAAACTTGATTCAGCGGAAGAAACACCAATTTAGCTGAAGGCAGAGGGTGACAGGTACTGTCCTCCCAGACCTCCTGCCTTCGGACCTCCCCAAACCCAGCTATTGTTCTCCAAACCCAACGCAAGGACAGCTGAGACCACTCAGCAGCGATTCCTACTGGGCCAGGCCAGATGAATGAGACATTTTGTAGGAACAGATGGTACCCTGTCTGCAGGAGGGGCAACACAACACAACTTTGCTCAACAGAAACATCCTGATAATGAAGGCTATTATCAACGTTGTTGAAGTGCCCTTGTTAATAAGTTTCTGATGTACGAGGTACATCTAACAGCTCTGCTGGGAGAGATTCAGCTGTATACATTTCATTCTGTCCCCTGCTTTGATGTCTTCCTTACTGAGAGCTCGCATACATCTTGTGTGTGATGTGAATAGAGGTTTTAGCGGAGGGAGACAGAGCAGACAAAGACAACTGTAAGGACAATGCTCTAGGAAAGACCCACGAGCAGTCGCCATCTCCGACACGTGCCTCGTGCTTTGCAAATAAAGCAGCAAGAGACGGAGCACGGTTTAGCAGAGTTTCCCCCTGAAAACCCTCTGACAGTTTAATGTTCGCAGAATACAGGCCAGAAATTAAACGGGTACATGTTGCTTCCTCCTGCAGGCACGAGCAGATTAAATATAACTACATCCCACATACCTTGAAGTATCCTTCTAATGAAGCCATGAATAATTCAGCAACGTGATCTGCCACTTCTAGCACAGCTAACGGCCTTTGACTTCAAGTCATGAAGCTTGTCAGCGGCCCACTACTTATTTCCCCTCATTTCCTCTCCTCTCAGTGCAAATGGAAGGGAATCAATTTAAAGTATTGATTCGCGGGGTTGAGCGAGGTGTTAATTGTACCTTTGGCCACGGCCGAGGGCACACGTCCACCCTTTCCTCCTGCACTCAGGTTATTAGTTCCCGTCTGCCTGCGAGAGGGTCTCGTCTTTGCTCTGTTCTCATTATTAGTGCATCAGCCAGCAGCTTTTCACAGGTCAAGGGGCTGCCGGCTGAAGGCCTCTGTATCACCAAGTGTTTTTATGGGCTTCTTTTTTTTTCCCCCTTAATCTGTCTCTGGGAGGGTACAGAAGCTTCCAGCTGGCTGCTCTCCACCACACAGCTTCTGCAACCCAAGCACTCGAGAGCATCTATGTAAATAAGCTCAAAATAAGATGAGGAAGGAGTTTCGTTACTGTCCAGTACCAGGGGGCTCCCAGGAGTCCTTCAGCCCTACCCGAACAAGACACATCTGCCCAGGTCATGGCCTTACTGGGAAACACGAGGAGGACAGCCCAACTGCAGGTTTATACCTCCTGCATCGTCTGGAATACCTCCATATCAGAAAGTGTTACTCATTAGATGTGGCAGCAGAAAACCCCAAACATGCTGCAGGCTACAGCATATACACAAAGAAACAAGATCTGCTCCAATCAGACTGCAATCCAAAAGTTACATAAATCCTAAAGCAAATATATTTTTAAAAAACCCCAACAAACCAGACATAGGGCAGGGTTAAATCGGTTAAATCAAGCAAGCTTTGTATTTTCACAGGAAATAAAACCCACTTTCATAGCTGTACTGTTGAAAAAGAGCACCTGTTAGTAAACAATCGCAAGACTTTCCATCTGCTTTCTAAAAACATAGTTTCATCTTTATGCAGGAAAAAAGAACTCCAGATTCTAGAAAGATTTTGTTATAAAGTATTAGATCTTTTTTAAAAAGCTGATGTTTTCAGTAGCTGAAAATTCACGCCTGACTGCTAAAGCTTCTGTTGCCAACATCAAAAAATTGGGGCAGCAGGAAACCAAAAGCAGACAACAGAGGTGAGGGAAACACCAGAAAGCCCCATTATTTCCATGGGGACAAGTCCTCCAGCCGCCGCATCTTACCTGTATGTTTTATGAAGCTCCACAACCTTCTCTTCGAGTTCTTTTGTCTGGTTTGGGGCCAGTTTAAATTCACTGATGTAATCCGGGCTGTGCAGATCAGGGTCGTAGTCTCCCAACTCGGACTGGACCGTGTACGAACCCAGCAGAGCCAAAGTCGCGAAGGAACAGGGCAGCCGCCCCGTAATGATGTCTTGTCTAAGCTGAAGACACAAGTAATACCTGGGGGGGGCGGGGGAAGCAAAATACAATTTACAGAGAAACTGAAGAAACTTGAGGATCAAACAGTCTCTTTTTTCTATGTCGCTGATGAACGCAGCATGATGCTTGTTTCTAATTTCTCCCGGTATTTTCACTCACGGGGTAATATTCCCTCCAAGCAGCATGGAGGACAGGAGGACTTGAGGTCACCTCTACTCTGCAAAGGGAGTAGAGGACACCTACGATCAGAAAACCTTCTTTTTAAATAAAAATTTACTTTTCTGTACGAACTCATGCGTGCCAGGATTATAAATGACGCTGCTTTCCACATCTGGACTTCAGTGGAGAGCAGGAGCATCCCACACAATCCATTCAAAACAAAAACCATGGCAAACCATTAAAGCATCTGATCTCCTGATGAAAAAACACACAAATATCAACAATTTTTATTCAATATTCACTGTTTTGCTGAGCGAGCTCTCTGGCTGGCAGCAAGTTTCCCAGGAAATTTACCTGGTTATGTCCTCTGTCAGCTGGGCAGGATCCGGTGGGTAAAACTTGACATTGAAAGTAAAATCCCAGGGGCCTCCTGCAATTACAAAGAGGAGGCTGAGGAAAATGAAAAGCTTTGCAGTAGTCAGTCTTTACAAAAAAAGCAGGGAATATCCAACCTGATCTTCAAAATACAGCCAGCAGATCATAATACTGATTTTAACACTGCAGCTGCTGCTTAGCAAACAGTGTAAGATACGATTTCGTTTACAGGAGCTAAGATACAAGCAGGAGAAAACAAAGCAGGGCAGGCAAATACACATGCATAGACCACAACTTGCAGAAAAAATGAAATTCATTGCTAAGAGGCTAAATTACTCACATATTTTTTCATTGATTGAAAAGAAGGATTCATGAAGAGAGGTCAGGCATGTGCTATAAGTTAATGAACTAGTATTGTTTTATCACTTGACCCAATTTTGAAATTTGTCCTGAAGAGCAGATGTGCTAATTCACTCAGCAGCCTACATGCACTGTTGGTCGGGTGGTCAGACCACTGTTTAAACTCAGCACAACGCAAGCATCAATCTTTGGATGATACCAGCAAGCACTGAGATGGAAAGAGCTTTACAAGTCCAGATCTAACTGCTTTCATTGTGGCAAACCTTGTACAGCACCGTTACAGGCATGAACTGGAGCGAGAAACCGTGCAATCACACCTAGAACTGGCACTATACGTGGTACGGACAGTCTGGGTGACACGGCTGAAGGGATTACTCTCTCTTTTGCTTGAAAATAATCACGTTCACTCGCAGAAAACAGTCCTGACCGACCCATTAAGCACTCAAAGTAATTTTCATAGTTACAACCCCCGCCCCAACGGTGCCCTTTAACACTAGTTCAAAATAGTATTTATGACAGAAAGAGAAGATAGCCCTGCGCTTAACTTGCTCAGAGATTTATCTCAATCTCACACAGGGAAGAGGGGGGACGCAGCATTCATGGATTTACTTCTTACGCAACGCCATAACTGGGATTAAACACAAGGCATGTTGTTTTCATTACACGCCGTTCAAAACAAGTTATTCCAAGAAGACATTTTAGGTCGCAGAGGTTACCCCCACCAACACACACTGGTGTACACACGCTAGATGTACATTCGACACATATTCAAGCAAACTGAGATAATCTGCCCTTAACCCGTCGCAGGGGATCAATTCCACAGCGGGCTGCCGATGGCACTGACAAGCTGAATTTTACCTGCACGGCACGGCCGGAGCAGCTCATGGCCTTTACACACATCCCGCTATCCATGCAAAGAGAAGCTGGGAAGAGCAGGAGCTTTTCCTACTCTGTAGCCCTGCGGCGTTTCCTCCCTAATCTGTACTAAATGACACACGTTGTTCTGTCCCCCCCACCAAAAGCACATGTAAACCAGTATTTTACTTTCATGAAACAGTATTTTACTTTTGAAGCAGTCAGACTTGCTCCTCAGAGAAAACAAAAGGCTCTAAAATGTATTTACCTTTGACACTGCCCTCATCTTGAACTAATCCAGCACTAGCAGACCTTAAAACACAACTTTGGAGAGCATGTGGCATTTGCCCTGATACTACTCGAGCCTTTTATCATTCTGTACCCCTATCTGGACCTTGAAACAGCTTCAGAGTCCATAAAACCTTCCTACTGCATACAATTTTGCTCAGGCTCTCACAACCTCCTTTGAGATTTAAATGGTTCCCACTGACATCTGTTTTCCCATCCTCCAACGGGGAGCAGATCTCCCACTTCAGCATCGCATGGTAGCAAGGGTTTGCATGGGGCCAACACACCCCAAGCTATGTTTTCCCAAGGAAATGACTTTTTTTTCCTAAATCCAGAGCATCACTAAGAAGAGGAGAAAGGACGCACAGACTGCTTGAACACCCTCACACCTACCAGACACCCTCACTTGAACTCTCACCCATCCTTGGGCCCCCCAGATCGCCTGCCAAAGCCACACTTATTTAGGGAAGGGGGGAGAAACCACACACACTCACACGATAAATTTGATCTACTCACCATGAACCTGTTTTTTTATTTCTTTGGCAGGATCCAGCCACGTCTGTAAGAGGATAAAAACATTCACAGTTTAACAGACGTGCCAGAAACACCACAGAAAACTGCAAAGCGCTAAAAATACGGCAAAAAGACAACATTTGACGTGAACGCAGCCATGGAAGCTGGAGAGATGGTACATTTTTCACAAGTTTCACTCCAATCTGCGGTGTCAGTAGGAACATTTGCAACCCTTCACCTACCAGGTACTTGTAGGGGGAGCATGAGGAACAGGAGGGAAAAAAAAAGCAGCATATTAGGGCTGCAAGCACACAGCAGCAGGTACGGTCACAGCCACATCCAGCTACAAGGGGCACTTGTGCAACACTGGTTTCAATCCAGAACCTTTAAAAATGGGCAGATAGATGTCTGCATTCATTGCAGGCACGCTGTCTCCTTACTTACCCTAGTCAAAACAAAGATCACCAAGACTTTCTATTATTAGCGATGTTTTTTAACGACCTAATCACTGAAATACAAGTGAAAACATCCCATTGCTGGGGAAGGCTGGAATCTTTTACAGCAGCATGACATAAACTTTGTCTCTTTTAGTTATGACTCAAGTTTCTAGTAATTACCTCGGCTACAAATTTAGAAATACATCCTTTTTTCCCCCCCTCACTCTGTAATTTGGGGGTTTGTGGGATAGTGGCGCAACAGAAGCCTCAAAAAAAAAACAACTGCTTTTGCCAGCACGGGCTGAGCCACTCCAGCACATCAAGCCTGAGCCTTTCCCTTTGCAGAGGGTCCACCCCGCTGAAGGTGAGGGTGCGATGCCAACAGCCTTCTCCCAGAGAGGCTACGTTAAACCACCTTCTTCATTTTCATGAGCCCTGAGCAGGATTTGGACATCCAGGTCTCCCGAGGTGAAGGAATTAACTCATTGAATCACCCAAGCTAATCTTTCTTGACCAGAAGGACACGTAACTTCATGGCAGGGAGAGAGCGACACTTACATTTAGTCTTTTTACACGCTCGCCCCTCTAACCTATAAAACTGGGGACATGAAATCCATTTGGAAGGTAAACATGCCACTCGCTGTCTTTTTAGGGCCCCTGTTTTAAGCAGAGCACCTCTATGTCCCATGCTGGTGCCACGACCGCTCGTTACTGCCGTGGCAACGGCTGGGTTTCGGGCAGCCGAGCCCGGCATGCAGTCGTGCATCTTCGGCACCGATCTGGTGGACCATGACAGGACAGCAATTAACGGCGCTTTTATCCACACTGTGTCACGAATCAGTGGGAAACAATCCTCCCTTTCAGAGCAGCGTGAGCATCAAGCTCCTTCGGTGCTGAGCAGCTGCTCTATCGACTGTCACCATCTCCTATGCCCGCTGACACCCTCTGCTACGTCCATGTGGGAAAATGCCCGTCACCAGGAACATTTATTCCCTAAACATCAAAGTGGAAAATCCCACATACAACCCTTGCCCGTCCAGGAATACACATGTGAGCTGTGGGTGAGGTGCAGAAGCTCCTCCGCCGGTTTCCTACTAAGATCATTTCTACCTGTGAATCAGTAACTCGGCGTTGGGTCTTGTTTGAAGTTACAGCAGGAGAGAGATGGAGCTTCAGATTTCAAAGTTCAATGAAACAGAACCAGAAAGGTTCCCAAAAAAATGGTGTTTTCCCCCATCAGAGCAAACCAGATTTCCACTGAGCAGCTTACTCTGCACTGGAGCTAAATCCAGGCACAGGGGCGTTACCAGGCCCAGCTCCCGGCTCTGGGACACAAATCTAACAAAACAGTCTGTTTTCACTCCCTACGGTTAAAAAGCTGCACAGCCCCTCAGCCCTCGCCAGCTTGGGGGGAAGGAGGTGCTTGCTTTTGCTTTCGGAAGAATCGATGCCAGCACGCCTGGACAGGAGAAAAGCGAGTCCCGGGGGGTCTGGGGGGACACACCAGTGAGCTACCCACAGCCTCAGTGCGAGAAGTTGATTTGCTCCAGCTAAATTCTTTTTGCTCTTAATCAGATCCAAAAGTACACCTACCCCTCCCCACTGCAAGCCACAAACTCCTAGACTAAAAAAACCCACGCTATATACATGGAAGCAAATTTCACATACAAGAAAACAGCGAGACAACAGAGACAGTAAAATAAACCCAAGAGAGCTCTGCCCGCCTCAAATAGTGATGGGGTGTTATTTTGCCTGTGTATTAAAAATTCACACTTGCAATTATTGAGTGTTTAATGACAAACGTCTGTCAGCCACGGTAACCTGGCCCATCAGTGACTGCTGTAGGTGAAACATGGGAATAGTCAGAATGTGGATCAACAAAACTCGTCTAAAGGACATAGAAGGGGGCCCTTGATTTCAATTTAGCACACTTTTGGCTAGCTTCACGAAACAAAGCTTGAGTAATCACTTGAGTTAAAGCGTAACCAAGGGTTTAAAAGATAAGACGCTGCTTGGGTCTAACCAAACAAAGACCTTAAACTGAAACCATATGAGTAAGAGCTTTGGTATGGAGAGTCACAGGTTCTTCCGCAGGGCAAAGCCTCAACTCAAAACTGCTCTGGATGGCTCTGACCAAACCTTACCAACGCTGACACCAGTACTAGGGCAGCCTGACTTCTTGAGCTAAACCTTTACAAATTAATGGCATCACTTTAGACTAAACTCATATAATGAATTTTCTCCAGGTGAGGAGTCAAGTTCACGTAGCTTTTTTACTGAAATCCACACTCCTGTAGTCATTTATTCACGATTTCTGCCTCTGTGATGGTGACACTCAGTCCTCTTTAGGGAGGGCACCAAAAGGAGTTTTAAGAAGAGCTTACACCACCTCCCCCCCGGGGCAGATGATCCTTGGAAAGAGCTGAACCCACCCTGGTGAGAACATCACACAACAGCAGCTGCTTACCCTGGAGGTTGGCGTGTCCCATATGGCCAAACCGAAGTAGTCTTCTTCCAGGAGATTGAGGTGGTCGCACACTTTTTTAAGCAGATCCTGCCCCTTGGCGTGTTTCTGCAAATAGACAAAAGAAATTCTGTAAGATGGGCTGGGTTTTGCCTACCCTTGTTCACGGGAGAGGGGAGGAAGGGAACATACCCAAGCCACACTGTACACTGCCAAGAAGGAAAAAAAAAAAAGTCCCAAGTAGCTCAAAATCAGACCTCCTGGCTGTTTCTGAGCAAGCATCCCTTACAAGAAAGAGCATCAGGCATAAAAATTCAAACCAGAGAGGCCATGGGCACCGTGGTGGGCACCAGCTCCGTGTCTGAAGCCCCCTCAAAGCTGAGCTTCTCACCACGACTCCATAAACACCGAGGAGTTGTATGGTTTTGCCCTCCCAAAGTACATCTACTGCACTGATATGTCCCAGCTCCAGCCTGTCAGACAATCAGGCATTGATCAAAAGACGATCCACATGGGGTATGAAACTGCTGCTACGACCTGCTGCTACAGACCCCCATTTTGGGGGCAACCTGGCTTAGCAGGCTCACAGTAGGACTGGAGGCTCAGAATCAAGAACCATCATTTCTGTGGCCTTTCCATCAACCCAATCTGGTGATGAAACCCACCGTCTCCAGTTTTGCCTTATGCACCTTATGCGTACAACTTCTGGCCTCAAGAAATACACTTTGAGCACTTCTATCTAATTTTTTTTCTTTTTTTTTTTTTTCCCCCTCAATCCTGCAGAAGTGAACTGGCCCTAGGAACAGACACCCTTTTAGTCCGAAAGCATGAAGGAAAACATCCCTGAGGCACAAAACTATGGTAACTAGAAGCAGCTAATTCAGGCTTTGCTAAAAAGAAAGTGCGGTTCCAGTGACGCAAACCAAGCTTTACTAATGCATCACTTGTGCCCACATCTCTCCTTCCAGTCCTATTTGCAGGGCAACTGATTCAAGACAATAGCCTTGCTTTGTTCCAGTCCTTCAGCTGTAGGTCCTCAGTGCACACGTTGTGACTCTATAGGTAACGTAGCACATATGTTAGCCTGGAGATTTCTTAAGGAATTGGTACTGGAAGACATACAGGAATTAAAAAACCTTCCATGGCTGTCGACTGGAAAGGATGTCTGAAAGCACTTATTCTTCTTGGATAAAGGCATCTGTGCTGGTCTTTGCCGACAGCTTTGCAATTCCTTCTCAATTAAGTCTTAATTGCTAGAGTAGGATTATACTGGCATTAAAGCCAAGGGTACTCGTCAAGTCAAGAGGGTCTCACTGACACAGCAGCCCCTCCTAATCCTCCCCGCAGCGCCCACCGCGACCCTCTGGACCTACAGGGAGAAACTCCTAACGTCCTGCTCACGGCAGGACCAACCAGCAGCTCTCCCACCACCAGCACCCGTGCAGCCTGCCCGTAATTGGAAGGCTTTGCTGCAGCAAACTCGGGCCCAAAGCCCCGGCAAGCTGCCACCAGCATTTCGGGGAACAGATTCCTTTTGGGGGCTGCCCACAAAATCCCCGGCAAAGGGGAAGGCGATCGGGGCGGCGATGCTCCGAGCTGATCCCAGGCAATAACAGCAGTGACGCCGTTACACAAACGGCCAGCGCTGACCTACTTGCCCAGGATCACCCAAGGTAACTGCTTTCACAAGGAGCCCTGTGCCCAGATACCCTCTCCTGGCCCATTTAGCCAGCGGGACTGGGGAAAAACAAGCTGATGGAAGTATGCTCAAATGGTAAGTACCGGATTATTAATATTCCAGACAAGTACTTCAATACTGAAATGGGGATTTCTGCTAGCTTTTTATTGCCCTGACAGCAAGGCAGCCCCGTGAGAGAATGCACAAAATAATGCAGAAGAAAAGCTCTCAGATGAAGGGGTTTGCAATGCTGTAAGCCAACATAATAATTCTAAATTGTTTACTGCAAACATATTCAACTGCAGGCTAAACACAGCATGGTTTTCTTTACATCCAAGCTCCAGGAGTTATGTTAGCCAGCAGCCTGATAGGTGAAGGTACCTTGGGTGAATAGAAAAGCACAAATTAATTTGACAACCCATTTTATTCAAAGGAGAGGGGCAAAAGATATTTAGACAATCCCAGCCTAACACAAAACCCTAAACTTTAGTCTGAGATACAAATGAGAGAGAAGATGAACAGCAAGTAGGATAACTTTTTATTTAAGCTTCCCCCCACCTTTAACAAAGCAAGGGACCCTGGAAATTGTAGAATTATAAAAAAAAAAAGAAAAAAAGATTCCTAGGCACACAGAGATTTTTACAACACACTAAATAAATTGTTATAGCTTACAGCAACACTGTTCTGCAGTAAAGCCTGTCATGTAATTCACTGGCAGCAAATTAGGCCTCTACTAAATCATCTCTGTGGTGATTTTTCACAGGGAGAAGGGAGAGGAAAAGAGGAGAAGTAGAAACAAACCCCAAAAGTACTTACATCCACGGTGCACTCAAAAAAGGTGTCATCCAGCAAGACCACTTTGCAGTACATGTTTCTGTGTCTCTTTACTGCTTTCTGGGCAGCTTTCAAATCCTTCTCTGCTTTGGTCTCCGGGGTCTCTTGTTTCGGCTCTGGCTTGGCGCACTCTTCCTTCGCTTCCTCTCCTTCCTTGCCCCCAAGGTCTTTGCTGTCCGGCTCCTGGTCGTCCCTCCTCTCCTCCTGAGCAGGCTGAAACCCCCACATCACTCAAGTTGCAATTTAGATGTGTCAAGCAAAAAAATAACCATCACATGAAACAAGCATTGCCTAGGTGCACTATAGGGCTGGGATCTCACCTCAGAATTAGTTATCTGACTTAAACGTGTGACCCGGGACCTGGAGCAGAGGCCTGGGTGAGCGAGGTAACGATATTAACTTTTAAAGCCCTTCAAGCCATTCTCCAAGTCTTCATTTAATAAAGGATGTAATAAAAAAGAAAAAAGGGTTGACTTAACGAGGGCAGATTACATCGTGCAAATCTTCATTAACTACAGCACCTTTTGGCCCAGTCAGTTTTCCCCCTCCTAGGCAAGACATCCAGCGCACCCAAAGCACAGGCCCCTGCACTCCTGCTGCCGCCCTGGGCGATGGGTTTTGCTCCAGTGCCCCCAGTAGGGCAGTGGGGACGATAAAAGGGGGCGGAGGGGGGGGGTCAGTGCTGAGATTTCAGAGCCGTCCGAGCAGCTCTCTGCCACCAAAAAGTGACGGCAGCCTTCACAGCACTCTCCCTTTGCCTAATGAAGCACTTTGCGAGGCAGTTTAATTCACTAAAACAGCAGAAAGAGATGCAGTTTGGGAACAGGAGGAGGAAGGAAGCTGGGTTTTTTTTTTTTTTCCACTGCCATTTCAGCAGGTTAAGCGAGTTCACGGCAGGCTCTGACAAGCGCTGGAAGTGGCTCGATGCAGCAGGAGCACGCAGCCGTGGCAGAGGAAGAGCAAAACCCTGTCTTTTCAGCCCATCGCATCTCATGAAATCACACCCAGGCACAACTGCACGGAGGTATTTAAAAACTAAATAATGTCCACAAGCTGCTGACTTCTGTTCCAGCAGGGCCGGGACAATCGGGAGCAGGGAATCAGTCAAAGCTGGTAATGCCCGTCGGTCAGCATTTATCACACAGGCAGCACCTCGCAAATGCTTTCACAGCAGAAATATCTGCCGAGTGTCACAGTTCAAAAAGCCACTGACGTTGATCTAAAATAAGAACTAAAAAAAAAAAAAAAAAGCACAAATGCTTCATCCGAAACGAACAGCCCATGGTGAAGGAAGGCTGTGGGTGCACACTTACATGCGCTCAGAAGCAGCAAATCAAAGTTAAACAGAGAAAGAAATCATGCATTTCCTCTTGAAAACACAATTTCTGGGCTGGAATTGCATGAAAATGTCCAGCTCCTCCCCACTCTGCTAATCTCAACCCTCAGAGGTCCAAAACACGAGCAGAGATCATCCCGTGGTTTCCACAGGCTCGGAAAATTTGGGAAAAGAAAGAAGAAGGTGTTACCTACTACCTTCTCTACAATTTTGTAATGACAAGGAGGTGGATTTACCATTACTGCCTACAGCTGGCAATGCTCTGACTTGTAAAGTATTGCTCCAAAAGCCAGAGTTGCAGATATGTAACACCTCCCTGGAGCCCATTCAAAACTTAAGGCAGCGGGAGAAGTAATCCAAATTTTACCACGAACGTACCACAACTCCAGCAATACACACAGGCTGGCTGGGTTGTAAGAAATCCCCACCCCAGGAGAAGGGGCACCCGCCTTTCTCTAACACCTGGGCAGCTGCATTAGTAACAGCAGAGCTGCAATCACCCAAGGAGTAAGAAAGGGCATCCAATACCCAAATCAATAACCAGCTGCAGCTTTCTGAATGCCTCCCTGGGGCTGAGTCCGCCCCATCTTCTACTACGCACTTAAAACTTTACATTTTGTATGAAAAATGACCCTGGCTGTAAAGAGCAGACATCAGACAGCTACTAGGAGCTGGGCTCAGCCCACGTGCTGTGCAGAAATCCCTGTCTACATGATGCATAAGCAGAAAATATTTGTTTTAGGCAGGCTCAGCACCAGCCTGGACTGAAGAGATGACCAAGTCCCGAAATGCCGCGCTTGCGCTCCTTGAAGTTGAAGAAACCCTTTCCCAAATCCACGTCCTCTCGCAGTCTCCACCTCACACCAGTGACCTGCCTTTATTCTGCACGCACCAAGGACATCCCGATGAGCAACAAGCTCTGTCGTGAATTATGCATGTGAACCCTAATTCTGACGTGACTTCCCCCGCCTCAGCAGAGTAAAGAGTCAGCACGGGGCATTTTAACTTCTGCTGTGAAGCGTGAGCACGATTTCAGGAGCAGGTACTTTGCAGGACAGGCTGATACAGGAACACAAGAGCGGGAAGTACGTGATCCAACACAGGGAGCTGACAAGGGCCTTTCTAGCATCTCATGATTTTTTCTGATCAAGCTTTCCACCCTAGGATATGAAGTTTTTACCGTTTTGGCTAAAAAGACACATTTTCAAGAACAGAAGGGAGCACACCACATGGAGCAGGGTGTTTTACCTGTGTTTCCGCACTGCTTAAGGAATGGAGATCTAGTGATGGATCAGTTTTGAGCTCAGGCTCTGGAGCTGCGATCGGGGCTTTCACCAGGATGTCTTCATCAGCACTGGCTCCTAAACCCGGGTCTTTCTGGTCACCTCCCGCCTCTTTAGGACCATCAGTGTCTTTGTCCTCTTCGGACACCTGAGACTTGGGCCTCCTGAGAAAGGATGAGAACAGGCGGGAGAGACCCCGGCCCTCGGAGGTGCGGCGCTCCTTCTTGCTTTGCTCCTCGTGCGTGGGCGTATCACCGTTGGAGGCCTTCTTCTGCCCCGCTGCCGGCTGCCCCTCCGACGTCTGCTGAGCCCCCTCCTCTAGCGAAGCCTCTTGCTTTTGTGTTTCAGCAGCTCCTTCCTCTTCCTTGGCTTGCTGCTGCTCCGAATTGTCGGCGTCCGCCGCTAGACTCTTCTCTGTTGTCATGATGAAGCTGCAAGAGAGGTGCACAAGGTCTCAGTCAAGAGCTTTCCAATATTCAAGTCTGCGTTCAGCTACTCAAACCAAGCCGCAAGCACAAACACACCACCTTCCCCAGCCACACCACCCTGTCCTGATGACTCCGGCCTACAAAGTCATTAAAAGCAAAATCACTCATTTTTCTAAGGTTCACTTTGACAGAAACATCTCTATCAACGTTTTCCCACGCATCCTCCACCATTTGGGTGATGCTGACTCCAAACCGCTAAATGCCCTGGCACCAGGACTGCAGCCTGACAAGGGCAAATGATTGAAAAATGGAAACAAGATGAGGGAAGGGGAGAAGATAGCAGAGGGCCTTGCTCCACAAGGCAGTCCTGAGGTCCTCTCTTCCTCCAACTACCCATTAGCCTCTGGCACCACTGGCTGGGGGAGCGGAGCAGATGAGACTCATAGAATCATATAGGTTGGAAAAGTCCTTTAAGATCATCGAGTCCAACCGTATGAGGACGTGCACGTGAAGAGGCAACCTTCCTCCTACCAGACCATGCCAAAGCCCCAGATGGCCTGTGATGGCTTGTGGCGTTACAGCACCCTTCACCACAGCAAGTGGAAAGAGAAATCCGCTGCTTGAGAGAGAGAAACTCATACAGCCAGTAAGAGTCAAACATGGCACGGCTTTAACTGCTCCTCACTTCTAAATGTCCCTGCAAGAGGCCACAGATCCTCACCATGAACTAAAAATGGGGATATCTAAAGGAGGTGAACCACACTGCTGCTCTGCTCCGGACAGGACTCATCAGTGTTGACCAACTACATCGATCTGCACAAGACGAGTCCGGTAGAGCCAAGCAGGCTTCAGGATTCACGAGATCTTTGCACTGCACACTGGAAAAATGTAAACCGAAAAGGCTTCCAAACAATCTCCATAACGGAGAGCAGATTTCTCCAGAGCCCGTGCGATTAAGCTGATGCAATGTTTATTTCAACTTTAGCCCGGGCTGTTGACACAAAAAGATGGAAATCACATGAGAAGAATATCTATTTAAGGTATAAAGAGGACCCAAAATAATCATGCTTTAGAGAGGATAGAACTAATCTTTGCACGTTGCATCACATGCATCTGCAGCAATAAATTGCCGCTGCTTACACAGAGCAAATAGCATATAATCCAATATGCCTTTCAATCCCTCTGACCCAAGCCTCGGCATATAAACATTTGCTCAAAATATCTACTTAAAATTTTGAGAAACATTTCAAGATGTCACTCTCCTACGTACTACTGCATTCACTGATTCTAATTTAACTCATCCTGATTGCCAAAATAAGCAGAGTGCTTGGAAGAGAAAACCCCTCCTGGCTTTCCAAAGCACTGCTCCCTCGCGTTTAATGCAAAAGCTGCGGTTAAAACAAAGCAGCATTAGAGACCTTCACTGAATATCCTTCTCCAGCAACGCACATTTCCTGAGTTTACAAGGTTTGTTTTAGTTTGGGGGTTGTTTTTGTTGGTGGTTTGGTGTTTGGTTTTTTTTTGCAAGGAGGGCTTTTGCAAAAGCAGGGGTGGTAACGCACGGGGTCTGCGCTCCCTGCGGAGTGATTCGGAGCCGCGTCAGATTTGGGACAAGCTTTCTGAACTCATGGAAACCTCTTCCTTTGGACTTAGCCCCACCAGCCAGCTCTGGGGATGAGCTGCAGGGCCCGTTTTAGCCTGGTCTCCCGCAGAAGCCAGGCTTACAGCATCATACCCTATTCACGATCTGCCCCTGGGTGAGTTGCTCGGGGTTTCTCCAAACCCAACGGAGAGGTGGAAGACACTGAAACAGCGGCTTTCTACCTGCACTGAGAAAAGGGGCATCTGAGCAGCCAGCCTGCACAGGCATCCGTGGGCACCTGAGGCACCAGGGACATTGCAAGGCAAATATGCTGCCAAAATCCAGACGTGGCAAGGCTGTGAGCTAGACCGAGACGCGGAGGTGCAGAAAACCACACTGCATCCCTTCTCCTCCTCCAGCGCTTTGCACGGGAGAAGACAGGGCAGGCTGGCATAGCTCAACCAAGAGAGCGCCCAAGGGTAATTCTCCAAAACGCTGTTGAGTTGGGCGTTATGTCACCTTGTTTCCCCAGAAGTCTTGCAGGAGTTCGTTTTTTTTTTGCAGGATTATCAGAGAATAGGCTCTGCGAGAAAGCTGTAAAATCCAAGTTAAATGAAAGGCTACGGCGGATTCACGCAGCACCCATCTGGCTCCCACCTCCCCCTCGAGGAGGGGACAGCTTCGTGCCCAACGCCCCTAAACCAGAAACATCAGTGAGAAGGGAAAGCAAGTTAAACCCAACCGCACTCGAGGGCTCTTAGACCAAGGGCTCGCCACCCGCAGAGCGCACACCATCCAGTGAACACCTGAAAGCTGCAACTAGCAGCACACTCGCAGGGCGAGAGGGATGGCTGCTGGCTCGCAGGGGCAGAATTGAGGTTACCACCAGTTTAGCGGGGGCGCAGAGGGGTGACGGCGGGAGTGGGGTCTGCGGTTCGGTTCAGGCGAGGTTCAGAAGGGGCCGTGGGCTAATGGGGCTGGTACGGGGCTGCAATTGGTTTGCAGTTGGCAGCACACGGGTGACTTGCCCCTGCCGTTTCCCTTCCTCCCGTGACTCCTTGCTAGGGATGCTGCTGTCCCTGTTGGCAACACACGGCTCTGTCTGCAGAGTCACCCCAGCCACCATGCAGGTAATTCTTGCTCTCAACAGCTCTCCAAAAACTCCTAGAGATGCTACAAGGCGGTGAGGAAGGTAACAAACCACATTCAGCCAAATGCACGTCACCCTGAGGCCATGATGCAGGACAGACTCGCCATGGCCAGCTCCCAGGGCGAAGCTCACGATGCCCCAGCACGCACAGAGCGGGATGGACACGTTGCAAGACCATCCCACCACGAACACACAACAACAGCGAGCTCCCTTTTGCACCAGCTGCCAAAGCAGCCTGCTTTGTAGTTGCTTCCCACTGTGTTTGTTTTGAATAAATACACTTGTAAGAATCATTATCAAAACACACAACGTTGCACACGCTTTGCTCTCTTAAAAACGCAGAATCGAGGCTCTTGAGATGACGACTGCAAGGAGGGCACAGCTGAAGAGCAGCTCTTATCAGCCGCGGTAAACAGGAGGGAAATAAACATTTCCTCTGAACGTAGTTTTCTCTCTTTAAATACCAACAACTCTGGAACAAGAAAGGTTTACTTGTTTGGATTTCAAAGCCGCAGTCGCAGACCTTTCCTGGCGTGGGAAGGTGGGTCTCGCTGGTGATGAGCAAACGTCTCCGCGTCTTTCCGCCGTCCCCCAGGAACCACCTTGCAGCTCGGCCAGATCCCCTCAGCGGGGCTGAGGATGTGGAGATGGGCACGTACGAGCCCTTCCCTTCCCAGCGCTTCCCAATAAATATTTAATAGTGGCAGCCAGCACCAATAACTCACTGGGTGCAGGTAAACATCTTGCTGCAAGACCCAAACATGCTTCTCCCATGCGTGGGCTCACGGCTGGTTCCCTCCCTTTGAAGTTCTATGTTCAGAAATGGTTTCCTAAGCTCTCGACCGAAAGCAAAGAGATTTGTAAGCAACACAACAGAGGCCCTATTATTTTTTTAAAAAGCATCTCTGCTGCTCAGAGATGTTTGCTAAGTAGTGTTTTGTTTCCAACCCAGCCCGCAGCAGAGCCAACGTGAAGAGCGAGGTTCCCACTCCGCTGCTCTCCAACTCATTATTTGGAGAAAGCACTGCCCACAGCCAAACCACAAGCAGGTTTTTATTCAAATTAAGTTTTCTTCCATCGCTATTCCACACGGCAATTCTGCAGAGCCCGCAGCTGCCTCGGGAGCTCCCTGGATGCTGGAGGAGGTTGCTCTGCTCTTGTAGGAGCACTCAAGCAGTGCTGCTCACCTCCTGCTCTGAGCTTGTATACGCTGGGTTTGGGGTGGGTTTTTTTTGGTAGAGGATAAGGGTTTGATGCCAGACAGCCTATAAAAGGCAGGCTCTTCACAAGTCTAGTGCAGAGAAGGCGTTTAACGTAAGGAAATCACAGCAAAACTTAGATATGATCCCACATGGAGATTTCAGAGTAAAAAACTCATCAGAAAAGGGTTTAAGTATGTATTTATACGTAAGCATTTTTAAGTTTGAGAACATCCTACTCCAGACAAGGAGACTTTAGCAACAGGAGCAATCTGAAGAAAAGGTAATTAAACACACCCAGAGCAGCCTGTGGGCAGAAGACAAACAGGCTTCTCCTGGCTGAGGATACCCACACCACAGGTCGACCTCCCCACCAACAGCATCCCCCCTTCACTTGCACCAGATCAGCCCCCAGAAGAGGACCTGGCCTTCCTGGTGTCCCACGGCACCACCGCGAACGTCAGTGCTTCGGTGATGAAGGGAGAGCCTTGCACATCGCTTCTTAAAAGGTATCAGCATCTCTGAACACCAAATGTCAACGCAAACCACTCCATGGGCACCTCACGAACCAGCAGACCCTCCAGCCACCCAAAAACCCTCAGTCTCAGGGCTCACCCCTGTTTCTGCCCAAGGTCCCGGCAGTAGGGAGCACACAACACCTCTGCAGGCTAGCCGTCACCTACACACTCGACCCTGCTTTGCTGTGTCAAAATCCTTTAAACAAAACTTGAGGCTTAAAATGAGTAAAACGGCTCATTGCTCATCCTGTTCCTAACGTGCACGGTTTGATCCAACACTAACTAACACCCGGTGAGGACAGCAAAACTGTTTCAACCCCACAGCATTCCACGGGCTCTGCTCTTGCAGACCTCGAAAGACAACCACTCTCCAAGCCAAACCGTTCCCTTTTTCCAGCCTGCACACACGCACGACGACTTATCTAAAGTACAGATTTTAGAGGAGCTCAACAGATCCCAACAGCTCCCTGTCGAGAAAGCCTTTGAGCCCAGAGGAGGCCAAATTACTCGCTCACTGCGCCCGTGCTCCTGGAAGGCTGTCGTTAAG